CTTTCCCCGAATTTCTACGGTTTAGCCTTTCCGGCCAAGTTCCCCCTTTCCATCTATGCGTGCTACGTCGCCCATAGGTACAACGCGGATAGGGTTGTTTTTAATCCCGGAAAGTGCACGCAAAAATTCGAAAACCTCGGTCAACGGATTATACCCTAAAAGACAAGGGAAATCCAAGACATTACTGTTAGGCATTTTTTTCTAAAGTACTTTCGGGTCCCCGTTTCGCTTGTTTTTCGTTAAAACTGGGCAGGATTAGATTCTCGCTTTGTCGGAGTCGAAACATATTAAACTCAAGTAAAATCAAGTCAAGAACATTTCTTGTAAAAATCACCTTAACCGACAAATACACATAACCATTTGTAATTCCGGTTTTGGGAAAAGAATATATTTTCAACTTTTATTTTTAAACTTAATTATTGCCTTTGTCAATTTATAACCAAAGTCCTAACAAACCCACCAGTCGGTATATCTTAGCCGCTCGAGGTATACTGGCATATCTTTGCTACGAGCACAACTACTAACATTTCCTGTGACACCCGGCGTTAGCCATACGTCGGCTCATCCCCGCGTCTATTTTCCTTTAGCGCTCAGGTTAAGTAACAAACCTGAGTTAGCCTAGTAACACTACCTTGACCAAAATACAGCCCCCAGCCACGCGGCTGTGACCCCTCCGGCTCGTAACACATTTCTCCACCGGCAGGAGTTATGGTATTCAACAAGAAACAAAATGCAAGCTTCTTACTTCGTTCATACTTTATCGGCAATAAAACTGTCTCAATAGATTTCATGTTCCATAGCTAATTGAAGCCCCGAGAAATGTTCGAGTAATAATTTCCGGACACAAATATAAGAGTAGAAACCGCTCCTAACAAGAAGGCCTTTCACGATTCAAAGTAAACCATAGTTCATTACTACGCGAGCCATTGAGACTGCGAATAATATTGACTTGTGAATATCGAACTCCGACCGATGTTACATTAATCGGGCGTTATATAAACGGGCCAGAAGTTCGTAGAAGTGGCGTTAAATGAAAATGAACCACCCTGGCCGAACTCGATAAGGAGGCTCGGTCCCTCGGGATTAAGTGGATTGCTAAGGTAAAAGTTCGACGAAAGACGTCTAACGTCATAACAACACGGGGCTACTTCTACTCTCTCAAACTTTGCAGAAAATCGAGCAAGAAGAACACCGTTCGTTTTCCCGGCTTCTGGCTAGCTCATTATCATCCAATCAGCACGACAAAACTTTTCGGTGGAATAACAAAAAGCTCTTTGCTATTTTACCTCGCTTCCTGTATCCGCTGGCGATGGGAACGTAGTGACAGTGGAAGAACCGGCGACACAAAGTTATCTGACAGTTTAATAAGCGATTTAGAGGTAAGAGAAATCGAGATAAGTTGACACGTTTTGCAGGTTTTAATTTTTATAATTTTTCTTCAAGATAATTCTTTAAATTTTTAGTGTTGTATATAAATTGGATAATGTTTGGTAAACAAATTGGAGAATGTTTATAAAATCGATAAATTGAATTTTGTTTCAGAGGACAAGATGCTGCTCTCAAATATACTGATACGTTTGTGAAATATTGTGTTGTAATTTTTAGTAATGATTTATATAGGGTGCCTCACCACATTTTGCCATCTAAATTTGCGTCATTATTATTACTCATAGCAAACAATGTTTTAGATGAAGTTGAATGTTTTTGAGGAGGGTATATGCTGGTAGTATATTTTTTTTGTAGGTGGACGTGTAAAGGACATATGAAGGTTATTAATGTTTTTTTAAATGGAATCATATTTTTTATTGCATCAACTGATACTCCATCATATTCTTTACAAAAAAGTATTAATCTATTTATGTGAAAAAATCATTAGTTTAAGAGATATTTCAATTTTAATGTCTATTTACAGAAAAGATTCAATGCAGCGACCATTTGCATCAGAATGCTTTCTGAATCGAGAAATTAACGACTTACTAACATTCTGTAGCGTATAATCTTTCTACACGTGTAGCACTTTTCCCAGCTACAAAATAAACTGATAACATGACTATCTTTTCTTCTTTAGAAAACTTCATTATGAAGGGATAATTCACCGTATCGTCGTATTCACCGTATTAGAAATGTAAAAGAGACAAACTTTCACTGTTACTGCGTAACAAAAAAAGCAAAAACTCACAATTCGTTTGGTGACACGTGGCCTCTCAGAGCATGTAGAAAAACATTTGCTCTTCGGTTAGGGCAATTCATAATATTGACCAGAAGGTCACCACTTCCTAACAAGTTAGAATTAAAATCTCTCCTAAACTAATGACCTTTTCACATAAATAGATTAATACTTTTTTATAAAGAATATGAAGGAGTATCAGCTGATGCAATAAAAAATATGTGATTCCATTTAAAAAAACATTAATGACCTTCATATGTCCTTTACGCATCCACCTACAAAAAAAATATACCACCAGCATATGCCCCCCTCAAAACCATTCAACTTCATCTAAAACGTTGTTTGCTATGAATAATAATAATGACGCAAATCTAGATGGCAAAATGTGGTGAGTCACCGTGTATTTTTATATCCCTGAAAGTGAAGCCATAATAAGGTTGTTTTATATTGTCCCTTAAAGTTGATGATATTATGGGCTATTCTGGTAATTTTTAGAACTGCAATCTTCAAGTTCTGAAATTACTTTTTATTAGAATTACAGATTTGAGAACTTTCCTATTTTGAATTTATCGAATTAAAAGTTTTAAGGCTTTCGAATCTACAGACTCTAAGATATTCCAGATTTTAGGATTAATAATTAAATATAGAAATTTGGAAATTCAGTAATTTGAAAGATTAAAAATTTTTAATTTTATAAAACTTATAATTTAATAATTAAAATGCTTGTTTTGAAATTTTTGAATTTACAAGTATTACTTGTTTGACATTATAAAAGTTAGGTATTTTTATGAATATACATATTCATATTCAGAAATATAAATCTTCAAAAATTGCGATATTTAGAAATTTTCAAATATACGTACTTTAAAACTTTCAAATTATCAAACTCAGGAGTTATCATAACCTCAAATAATTAACTTTCAGAGTTCATAAAAGTAATTCGTGAATTGTTAATTGCTTATAATTAGCTGAGTTCATTAAAATTGTCAATTATTTCACAGTGTGGAGTCTTTACAGAAGTTTCTTAATCTTCAGTAATTAATGTTTTATCTTGATACACTTAATAAATACCTTAAATCACGTTTGATATTCTTCGAAATTCACGAAGGAAAAAATGTACTAACATAAAATATGTTCAACATAAAGTTTAAAAAAAAAATTACAATTTCCGATTGATTCACAAAGAAGTCTACCATTTCTAATAATCAAATCTAAGATAGATTGCATTTATCAGAGTACCTTAAATTACCTCAATCTGAAGAAATACAATCAATACAAAGGTGCTTGAATAACGACTACGATAAAATCAGCGGAAAAATTGATTTCGTGATTTACAGATACGGAATGCAAGGTGTTAATTGTATCGGTGATACAATATCTACACAAAAATACTACGTATTCTGTAAAAATTGAAGTGATAAATAAAAAATCTTACAACACACATCACTCAACATCGATAGGTGTCTAATTAATCGTGAAAGTGCAAACGAGTAACGTTAGTAGAAGAACAAGCATAGATAACAGTTATACAGGGTGTTACAAGAAGAATAATAAGTATTTTAGGAAATTGCAGTATGAATAATTTTGAGTAAATATTTTTTACATAATATGCATTTATATTTAGTTATTACAAATTTAATTTATAGATTTGTATTTTGCTCAGTATAAATATTTAACAATGTTTAACATTTTTAAGTCATTAAACAATTTTCAAATGAGAATAAATTTTTAAGTTAAAACAATTTTCAAATCTCTAATATATAAATTTCCTAATCTTCCTAATTCGGTTATTTCTAAAATTTACAAGTTTTTAAACGTTTAAATTTCTAAATTTCCTAAACCTCAAAATATTGAATTTAAAAATTCCTAAAATTTTCAAAAAAGCATTGAATTCTCAAAAATTAACAAGTTTCCAGAAATTCTCAAATTCCCAAATTTCTATATCCCAAATCCTCAAATCTCCAAATTTTGATATACCAAATCCTCAAATTCTCCAATTTCGAAATCGTTAAATTCCAAAATTGTAAAATTTTACAATTTCCAATTTCTCAAATTCCCAAATTCCCAAATCCTCAAATTCCTTAATTCTCAAATTCCCAAATTCCTAAATTCCCAAACTCTCAAATTCCCAAACTTTCAAATTCCCAAATTCTCAAATTTCCAAATTCTTAAATTCCCAAACTCTCAAATTCCCAAATCTCAAATTCCCAAATTCCCAAATTCTCAAATTCCCAAATTCTCAAATTCCCAAATTTCCAAATTCTTCAAAACTCCAAACTCTCAAATTCCTAGATCTCAAGCTCTAAATTTTTAATCTTGTAAACCCCTAAATTCCTAAATTCTTAAATTTGCAAATTTCTAAACTCCTACATTTCTATAAAAATAAAATAGAGACAAAATATAGAGCACTTACAACCCTCTCTCAAGTCATAAAACTCATTGAACTGTGTTCAAATCTGAAGATCTTGGCTATTAATAAATATACACGTATTAAATGAATGTAAATCATTTATTAAGAAATATTTTCTCTCGAAATAGTTCATACTGGTATTTTCTAAAATATTTACTATTCTCAGACCACTCTGTATAATGTTATATATATAGAGTTCAAGATAAGTTATAAATATTAGTCATTAATGTACTGTTTACCAACTGGGGGTTTCACTTACACTTGTCTTAAATACGAAACGAAATAACAAGGGTTTCAAGTTAGGTTCAACACTGGAAGAAGTAAAATCAGGCGGAGAAAAAGAGAAAGATAGAAAAAAGATGCAGAAAGTTTCACGAACAGTTTAACAGAGAAACACTGAAAGCTGTATGAATATGTAATTACCCCATGTGACTTCCCCGAGGATTTCTTTGAACAAAAAAACAGAAAAAACATTGGGTTAATCAGTTTGAAAAATCTCGTATTCGTGTAAATACTTCGTTTTAATTTGAAAACATATCGAAACGAGAAAAGGGAATAATTAAAACAAAATCCTTAAAACTGGAGGACGTTTTATATTCTCTTATATATCGTTGTGATCAATGACTATTGTGATAAGTGATTAAATGTTTCGATTTGCTTTTATTGAATTACTGTTGAATGTAAAACAGACCTATTCAACTTTCTTAGCAATGATTCTTCTCTTTTAATAGGAGAAGCAATTATTTTTTATTAATTGTCCAAATAATTTACATACCTTATGTGACCATATGTTTTTTGAAATATGTTGTTTCCAAAAATTCTTCAATATTTTTAGAAATAAAATTTTTAAATATATTTGCAAATAGAATTCTTAGACATCTTCACTAATACAATTTTTAGAAATTCTTGAATCAAATAGTTTTGTTCAAAATTGAATTTCTCAAAAACTGAAGGTAACGAAAATAAACGGTTTGCCAATTTATGTAATTATTACACAAAAATTTACACGACTCAGTAATTCAGTATTACAAGAAAAAATGAATATTTACAGAAAGAGACATAGTTCCAATGACATTGACCTTGACTGTATATTATCAAGGATATGTACCTAATTAACTTTTCTCTGTAATTTAATCGTCGTTCATTGTTCGTAAAAAGATTATTAACCATAATGGATTAATAAAAATCTAGATTTGTATGTAATCTTATAAAAAATAACTTTACGATTTTGGCAGCAGTTTAATATTTGGGACAACACTTAGCCTGCAGCTATTATATATAACTGGTGATTTTACAAATCAAGTTGAACAGATTTCAATCATTTTGAATTTCTGGTCATATAACCGAGGAATATTATTCTGACCTAATCCAACTTAACTTGTTTTATAATATAATTAAATGTGAACGTCAGAGAATGAATACTATCAATTATAAAACAAGGTTAGGTTAGATTATTATGTTAGTTTGGATTAATATTTTTCAAAATACTCCTTTGTTAATAATTTCGCAATGAATCGCAAGCGACGATTAAGTTATAAAGAAAATCACAGAATACTATTCTGACCTAACCCAACTTAACTTGTTTTATAATATAATTAAATGTGAACGTTAGAGAATCAATACCATCAATTATAAAACAAGGTAAGGTTATGTTAGTTTGGATTAATATTTTTCCAAATACTTTTTGTTAATAATATTGTAACAAACAACGAGCGACGATTAAGTTATAAGGAAAACTTATTCAGGACGACGACCTCGAGAACGTACGAGAAGATCAAGGTCATTATGTATCCTCTTTTGTCAATATTTATCCAAAATAAAATACGTGTTGTACAATATTTTAATCATATTAAGTTATATTAAATAATATATTAAGTTATATCAAGTTATATTAAGTAATATATTAAGTTATATTAAGTTATATCAAGTTATATTAAGTTATATTAAGTAATATATTAAGCAAAGCAAATCGAAACTTTTCGAAATATGTACGTACGAAAGTATTAACCCAGTAAGCAATGAATAAATCGTTCATAAAATAAATCGTACTCACCTGGATGACAGTCTTGTTCTTAATTTTGTCGAGAGGTAATCGTTCTCTGACGTAGTGAAGATTCAGGATCTCCTTGACTCGTTTCTTGTCCTGAAGGATTTGTTGCACACCAGGTTCTTCCAGAGCAGCGTTGCTTGGTGCAAACAGCGTAACATCACGCAGGTGACTTATGGTACCCATAATTTCCTCGCCGAAATCTCGGATGGTCTCGTAAAATTTGTACACCGGTCCATCCTCCTTTTCCTGAACGGAGAAAAGAGATTTCTGTTTATCGATGTCAAGGTGTAGAGGAAACTGATCACTACGAAGGATCGTTAATAAAGAAAAGAAAATAATTACGAAAGAAAATGAAAACGATTAATCTTAAAAGAAAGTGAAGAATCCGATGCTTCAGTTGGGCAGAATTTGCGAAGTTCAGAAATTTATGACTTTTAGGAGCAATTTTTACGAGTTGCAGTCGTATATAGATATGCACATTCTTCACACTTGCGTTTATTCGCAGTTATAAATATGTATATGTATTTTGTTTTTATTAGTATTGTGATATCTTGAAAACTTCTTAGGAATCCAAGGGATTTTGGCTTGATACATATTATGATTTTGAAATATTTAGATGTAATAGTTTCAAGTTTTTAAATTCTGTGTTTCAGGATGTTTGAGATTTTAATGTAGGAATATGGAGTATTTGAAGATTTAGGGATTTGAATTATGGATTATTTGAAAATTTGGGAATTTTGGAATTTGGGGAATTTGGGATTTGGAGAATTTGCGATTTGGGGAATTTGGGATTTGGGGAATTTGGGATTTGGGGAATTTGGGATTTGGGGAATTTGGGATTTGGGGAATTTGGGATTTGGGGAATTTGGGATTTGGGGAATTTGGGATTTGGGGAATTTGGGATTTGGGGAATTTGGGATTTGGGGAATTTGGGATTTGGGGAATTTGGGATTTGGGGAATTTGGGATTTGGGGAATTTGGGATTTGGGGAATTTGGGATTTGGGGAATTTGGGATTTGGGGAATTTGGGATTTGGGGAATTTGGGATTTGGGGAATTTGGGATTTGGGGAATTTGGGATTTGGGGAATTTGGGATTTGGGGAATTTGGGATTTGGGGAATTTGGGATTTGGGGAATTTGGGATTTGGGGAATTTGGGATTTGGGGAATTTGGGATTTGGGGAATTTGGGATTTGGGGAATTTGGGATTTGGGGAATTTGGGATTTGGGGAATTTGGGATTTGGGGAATTTGGGATTTGGGGAATTTGGGATTTGGGGAATTTGGGATTTGGGGAATTTGGGATTTGGGGAATTTGGGATTTGGGGAATTTGGGATTTGGGGAATTTGGGATTTGGGGAATTTGGGATTTGGGGAATTTGGGATTTGGGGAATTTGGGATTTGGGGAATTTGGGATTTGGGGAATTTGGGATTTGGGGAATTTGGGATTTGGGGAATTTGGGATTTGGGGAATTTGGGATTTGGGGAATTTGGGATTTGGGGAATTTGGGATTTGGGGAATTTGGGATTTGGGGAATTTGGGATTTGGGGAATTTGGGATTTGGGGAATTTGGGATTTGGGGAATTTGGGATTTGGGGAATTTGGGATTTGGGGAATTTGGGATTTGGGGAATTTGGGATTTGGGGAATTTGGGATTTGGGGAATTTGGGATTTGGGGAATTTGGGATTTGGGGAATTTGGGATTTGGGGAATTTGGGATTTGGGGAATTTGGGATTTGGGGAATTTGGGATTTGGGGAATTTGGGATTTGGGGAATTTGGGATTTGGGGAATTTGGGATTTGGGGAATTTGGGATTTGGGGAATTTGGGATTTGGGGAATTTGGGATTTGGGGAATTTGGGATTTAGGATTTGGGGATTTGAGGGTTTGGAGATGTGGGGATTTGGAAATCTGGAAATTTGGAAATTTGGTAATTTGGAAATTTAGAATGTTAAAAATTAAAAAATTTGAAAAGTCAGAAACTGAAAAATTTGTGAATACATACAGACTTCTTTAATATTCACATTTCTAAATTTCTAAATTTTCAAATTGCCGAATTCCTAAATTTTCAAAGTTTCGTGATACTTAAAATTCATGACGAGTCCTAAATACGGAATACGGCTGTAATTATATTAAGTGAAATTTCGCTGCGTTAGATAGCGCGACATTTATCTCTCGCAGGTTAATTAAAAATTCTTTTCGTTGAAATCAGACACTCGGATATGTTCTTCCTCTATTAAGCTTTCAATTGAACATTTTTGTCGTGCACGGAATGAACCGGCATAATTAACTTCGCAAATTCTGCAGCGCGAAAATTATAAATAAAATGCTTGCTAGGAATCCAGGTAGAGGTATTAGAACCCAAAAATAAGCCTCAAGCTGTTATGGAACAATTAATATGCGTTTTTTCCTCAACAGAAAATTCCACGTAAAGTTTAATCTTGCGGAAGTAATTGGGTTAATAACAATGATTAAAGTAAATGTTAATGAAGCAGACCGAGATACGAGGCGGAATTTTGAAGAGACACCATTTTGGTTTTTGTTTAATTAAATCAGGTATTGTGATTGATGAACCTCTTCGTATAATCGAAACAGGTCGTATCCTTTCCCTTACGTTTTGTACTCATTGTTTATACGTTTGAATATAATTTTAATTTATATAATTATAAATCATGTTTGTAGAATTACGTTTAATTGATTAATTGAGAAAGGTTGTGTTTCAAGCTTTCAAGGATATTTAACAAAAATTTAATTTGTCAAATAAAATTCGATAAACTGTATCTCCATCTTTATATTTGACTCAAAAAATTTATAGTTGATTTCATAAATGAGTCGTGAAAAATATTGAAAGAAATTAAATTGATATCATTTAATTTTTATTAAATCTTGATTATGATGTACTAATTGTTATCATGCAATTTTTATTTAAAAAAATCAAATCATAATTAATTGCACTGTTATTTAAATATTGATCGTCCTTTTCTCCCAGTTTATAATTTGTTACAGAATATATTTTATTTCTTTTTAATAATCGAAAGGAGGTAGAACTTCTCTCATTTAAACGATACTTACGCTCAATTTTTTTCTTGTCAAAATAGTTAAAAATTTGTTCTTCTTTTACGGAATAATATGATTGATGTATATTCTGTAATCTCAGCAAAATAAATCATAGCAGAACTCAAGTTATATTATAAACAATGCGTCGTTCTTGAAAATCTTTGTGACATTTTAAATTTTAATTCTGCATAAAAGTATTACAAATTTAGTATTTGCAGTACAAAATGAAAAAACTTTGGTTACGTTAATTTTATATTTAAGAAGGTATACAAAAATTAAGTTTTCAAGGTTAATCTTGAAGGTTAAACTTATTTCGTTAAATTTTTATCCAACTAAATGAACAGTTAGATATAGCTTGTTAAAGTTGTAAAATCACATTTCTTTATTTTAATTATATCTTGACTTTTATTCTACCGCTATTTAATTGACTTTCAAAAATGAACTTTTTATACCTTTTTAAAAATTAAAAAAATGTACGCAGTCAAAGTAGTTTGATAACGAAAAATTGATCAAGTACCAATCAGACAATTTTTTTATATGTTAGGTTAGGTTAGGTTATTTTAAACAATCTATAAATGACAGCTGACTTTTATTTTACTTTTATTAATATTTGTTTTTATTAATCTTTATTGTATTTCATTTTACAAATCTCTATTTGTATTCATTTTCATATTAATTAATTTTGTCATAACTTAAGTCAATTAATTTTGATGAGTTTGAAGAAATGAAGCTTCAATAAATCTTTTGGAATAACAAGTTAATCATCCCAGAAACTCAGTGATCGGATCACGATTCTGAAGTTACTCGTATCAGTAACGACGACCTTTCCCGTTTTCAACGGCGAAAGAGTTACGACCTGTCGCGTAAATCGGTTCCTCCACAACCAGGAAGACAACGTTTACGTTCACGACGCGTCTTTATGTCGCGATCAAATGAACCTGTGCCTTGGCACGTGCACGCAACTCATCGTGCTGGTGGAACGTTAATTTCTTGCACGACAGGATACCTGTTTCACCAGGTGAGCTTCCATGGATCAACGTTCTACTAATTGATCGTCAATTTCAAGCACGTGAGCTACAAGATGGAAGCGAACGTCGTGAACGCAGCTTAGAACGCTCGTGATGTCGACACATCGTTTCATGATCGAATTATACTATAAATTAACCCTTTCGTTACAACTCAATTACGCGAAAAATTCTATCGAGCGTTAGCTGCAAACTCGGTAATATAGAGAATGATACTTCATGCCCATCATCTTTATATTTTGAGAAATCCTGATAAAATGAACACTAAATTTTATACAATAGTATTTTATAGTATTTTTAACACTAAGCTTTAGAAACAAATAATAACATTCATTTTTAATGCTAATAAATAAATAAAAATTAGTATTTAATATTAATATCTAATTTAATATTTCATTTTATAAATGTTTAATTTTAATAATAATTTAAAGATCCTTTTTTTAACTTTTGTTTTATGCGCCAGATGCATCTGTCAGGAGCAACTATTAATTGCTATAATATTAAAACGAATAAAGAAAGTCATGATGTTATGTTTATTTTGTATTCATTGATTATGCAAATAATAGTTGGTCCCAAATTTTAAATTGAAGAGTATTAAAATTTTCAGTAAGATTTATTATATTTGAACCTACGAGTCAGACTCTCGCCAAAATATGCTGAAGAGTTAAAGTTTATATTAGGGTATTTGTCCTAATTAGGGTGGCTTTAAATCATTTTATAAAATCATATATTAATTAAGAAGTATTTCTACATGAAAGTCATATTGTTAAAATCGATATTTAATATCGATATTTAATAGTAAATTCTTGCAAAGGAATTTTGTAATAGGTGAAAGAAATTGAATCTTCATGATGGATTTAATACTGTGACCGCCATGTTAAATTTTTGGAAAGTTCTAATGGATAGTAATTTTATTTTCAACGAACTTGATTGATTATTCTAATGATATTTTATTTGTTTTGTCAAGTATTTAATAAAGTCGGTTGTAGTTTCAACTTCATAAGTAAGGATGTCTCTATATTACAGTAAGTGATTTATATAAATATAAATTCATACGTAATTAGAATTTGAGTGAAATGGAGGTCGAAGTATTAAATATAAAAATAGATGTTTTTACTTATATTACGGAGTCGTTTAAATTGTTGCAAATGTATCTTTATTTTA